CAACTCCTGGGCTCAAGCGAGTCTCCTGCCTCCGCCTCCCAAGTAGCTGGGACCACAGGCGCCCGCCACAACGCCCGGCTATTTCTTGGTTGCAGCTGTCATTGTTGCTTGGCGGGTCCGGGCTGGGGATTCGAACCCACCACCTTAGGTGTACGTGGCTGGCGCCTTAGCCGGTTGAGCCATAGGTGCCGAGCCCACACCTGGCCTTCCATTCAACAGTTGACTAGAGACCCTAACCAGTGCAACAAGGCAAGAGAAAGAACTAAAAGGCATACATGGCTCAGTACCTATGGCTCAAGCAGCTAAGGCGCCAGCCACATACACCAGAGCTGGCAGGTTCGAATCTAGCCTAGGCTCGCTAACAACGACGGCTGCATCCAAAAAATAGTGGGTGTTGTGGCGGGCTTGTGTAGTCCCAGTTACTTAGGAAGTGGAGGCAGGAGAATTGCTTGAGCCCAGGAGTTGGAGGTTGCTGTGAGCTGAAATGCCATGGCACTCTACCCAGGGCAACAGCTTGAGCTCTGTCTCAAAAAAAAGAAGAAGAAAAAGAAAAAAAGGGCATACATATTGGAAAGGAAGAAGTAAAACTGTCTTTATATGCAGATGAAATGATTGTGTAGGCTTGGCGCCTGTAGCTCAGGGGCTAAGGCATCGGTCATATACACGGGGGCTAGTGGGTTCGAACCTGGCCAGGGCCTGCCAAACAACAATGACAACAACAAAGGCGACAACTACAGAGGGTGACATAGAAAAACTGTCTCAAAAAAAAGGGGGGGTGGCACCTGTGGCTCAAAGGAATAGGGTGACGCCCCATGTACTGGAGGTGGCAGGTTCAAACCCGACCCTGGCTAAAAACTGCAAAAAAAAAAAAAATGAAATGATTGTATACACAAACTATCCCAAGTCATTTACCAAAACACTACTAGAACTAGTAAGTGATATATTTTTTTAGTGAGACAGTGTCTTACTGTGTTGCCCAGGATAGAGTACCAAGGGGTCACACTTACAGCAACCTCAAACTCTTGGGCTCAAGTGATTCTTTTGCCTCAGCCTCCCAAGTAGCTGAGACTACAGATGCCCACCACAATGCCCAACTAGTTTTCTGGATATGGGGTCCCGCTCTTGCTCAGGCTGGTCTGGAACTTGTGAGTGCAGGTGATCTACCCACCTCAGCCTATCAGAGTGTTGGGATTATAGGTGTGAGCCATCACGCCCAGCCTTTAGTAAGTGAATTTCAACAAGGTCACAGAACAGAACACAAGGTCCATACACCAAACTCAACTGTATTTCTTTCTTCCTTTTTCTTTCTTTTTTTGGAGACAGAGTCTCAAGCTATTGCCCTGGGTAGAGTACTGTGGCATCATAGCTCACAGCAACCTCCAACTCTTGGGCTCAATTGGTCCTCTTGCCTCAGTTTTTCTTTTAGCATAGACAGGGTCTTGATTTTTGCTCAGGCTGGTCTTAAACCCGTGAGCTCAAGCAATCCACTCACTTCGGCCTCCCAGAGTGCTAGGATTACACATGTGAGCCACTGTGCCTGCCTCAACTATATTTCTATACACTATCAATTAAAAAACCAAATAAAGATACTATTTACAAAAGCATCAAAAATATGAACTATGTCAAGAAAAACTTAATGACACATGAAAGTACTGGATAGCAGTACTATGGATTTGTCACCAGTCTGAGTGTGGCTAACTGGGAGTGAAACCAAGAGCCCAAGCAGTGGGGGGAGGGTGGTCTGGAATTTCAGTTGGACAGTCAAGAACCCGGGGATAAAAAGCATTGGGAAAGCTCAAGGCTTTCAGTGCAACAAAGTCCACAAGCATAGCCAGAGATCAAAATGTAAGTCTTTATTATTCAAGGACAACTTGGAATTCAGCAGTGCCTAGTTTCATGAGGGCATGTAGTGTGACTCATAATTGTCAATACAAAATAACCATAAACCTGGGCTACTGCCTAGGTTACTTTTGAAGACACTCAGCTACATAAAACCTGACTTGCTTCTAAAAACGTGAGCCACATTTTTTTTTCCCCTGAAAATATTTCCCTTCCCTCTTTGCCTTGCACCCAACTTCTTGCCTTCTTGGGGCTTCTTCTTTCTTTTTTTTGTTAGAGACAGAGTTTCACTTTGTTGCCCTCTGTAGAGTGCTGCAGCGTCACAGCTCACAGCAACCTCCACCTCTTGGGCTTAGGTGATTCTCTTGTCTCAGCCTCCCGAGTAGCTGGGACTATAAGTGCCTGCCACCCTCAGTATATGGGGCCAGTGCCCTGCTCACTGAGCCACAGGCACCACCCCTTCTTGGGGCTTCTTATTGTCTAGGTAACATGTGGCTTGGGCCTAGCTGGACACAACCAGTACCTGGGCCTGAGTCTAAGCATGTGGCCTCTAAAGCCTGCCCGACCTGGCTTGGGGCCTATCTGTAGCACTCAGTGGTGCCCTGGCTAGCAGGTAAATCATACTAAGCTAGCTCACAGGTCTCCAGTAAAGCTATAGACACTGGCCTGAGGGGATGTCTTGCTAGACTTTCTGGGGGATCACAGAACTTTTCACTGCTTGCTGTGGACTGAACCACAGGACCACAAGACAGTCATACTTCACTTTTCCAAATTATAAGCATATGGGAGGGCTCTGGCCCTCATCTATTTCTGTGCAGAGTGGCTACTTTCTCTTCAGGACTTTAGAAAAGTCCAAAGCAATGGGCAAAAGGCAGTTGCTACAGACCTGGGCCACAGACACCCTGCCTGCCTCGAAGATGAACTGGCTCCCTGTGGCATCCCACAGCCCAGTGGCCCACTGCACTCTTCCCCTGGCCTGTGCAGCCAGCAGCCTTTGACATGTACTTCCCCCAACCCCAGAATACTGAACCAATGGCAGGTCTCTGAGATGTCCTGCCCTATTAGCGGGTTCCACTGAACCTGGCAAGCTGGTCCTAGGTCATGCCTGTGTGCACACCCTTAGGACAACATGGGTGACAGCTTTCTCTCCTGATAAGGTCCCACCCCATTGCCTGCAGGCTGATGAGGGTTCAACCACCATGAGAACTTTTGACCATGAGAACTTTGACTTCCGGGTTTGAGGGATCTGCCCAGGTGAACAAATCAGCTCTGAAATTCATCACTCTCTTCCGGCCCCTGCCTGTTTTCCTGTTCCAGGCCCAAGCCTACGGAAGAAGAGGAAATGCCACTTAGCAAACAGGAGAAAAAACCCTGAAGATTGGCTCGGCGCCTATAGCTCAAGGCTCGGCGCCTATAGCTCAACTGGCTAAGGCGCCAGCCACGTACACCTAAGCTGTCGGGTTC